AATAGAGGGACTGTGATTTTTATATAAAATTAATTTGACGTACATAATAACACGGTACGATTGTATTTTAATTAATTTTATTATTCAAAATATTTTTTTTTGCACTTAAAAAATTTTTCATTTACTCGCGTGAATTATGGAATTCGTATGGTGCAATTTGAATACGTTGTCATTTACACGACATTTAAAATTATGAATTTCATTGGTTTTACTGTAGTACTAATTTAGCATACCAAACTGTACGGTAATGTAAGCCGTCGCCTATTAACGTGGTATAATTAAAAAGTAACAGCACCTGCGCTTGTACTCGCAGCTTGCTTTAAACAAAATACTTTGTACGCGGGGTCACAGCCTCGTGGACCAGGAATTATATCAAGGAGTCGGAAGAGATTTCTCTCTCTCTCTCTCTCTCTCTCTCTCTCTCTCTCTCTCTCTCTTTCTCCCTGCCTAGCCGCAACTTCATTCCACCTCTCGGGTGCTCGCGTTCCACATAAAACTTTTCTCTGAATCAATTAGCAACTGACCTCCGTATCCCCGTATACAGTAGCTGCAACAAAAAGGAGAGAGAAGGAAAAAAAGAGATACAAGGCCAGACGTACTCTCAGAGGTATTACGAACAGACTGTACCGCTTTATTAATTTACGGTTACTTGTTTCTGTAACTCATTTGCCAACCTTGTGATACACAGAAATTTTTACACTGCCTTACCGACTGCGATAACTTGTTGATCTTTCGCCAAGACTGTTAACTACTAAATTTCTTATTTATCTTCGTAATCTTTTATCATAGTATTCCATGGCGTCTGTATACGCGTACATATGACTTTCGACCCTCGATTACGTTACTCATCCCGTATGATAGCTATATGGCGTAGTTCGTTAAACCTAACTAATGTTATAGCGTGATACCAACATCCAGTTTCCCATAGTCACGGAAGTTACGTTTACACGATGGAAGAGTTACGCGAATTCAAGATTCGCAGCATCCCGATGACAACCATTAGTTACATTAACGGTCCACGATAAAATAGGCTCGTTCGGATTGTAGTATAAAATTATTTGACTCACGGTGAGACCGCATTGCAATCTTGAAATTCGATATGGACTGTACCATGCATGTATTGAATAACGTTGCGCGTTAATTACGTGAATTCATTAATATATTATACATTGATTCAAATAATAGACAAAGATAACGCACTTAATCCAGATATGCATTAAGGTCATTGGGACTTTAATGCATTATTCGTTTATCTGACAAGCCCTGTAATCGCGTCCATGCGCCACGTTAATCTGGCAATTGCAGACTGGAAATTCTAGCAACGTACCAGTCAGTAGACACCAATGTGCTTTGATGCTTTTCGACAGGGTAGTTGGAGTGGGGGTAACGCGAGTTGATGTATGACGTAAGATGGTAAGAGGGGAAGGGGGAAGGTATGATAAAGATTAAATGTGGAGATGATAAGCTTGAATTTTTTTCCAATTTTTGTATATATGTATATATATAGCGTTGTATATGTATATGTATAGCGTTCAGGTCCGAAACTCGCAGTATGGTTAATTACCAAGTCTGGTTTTAGTACCGTACCACAAAATGCCGAAACAAATAGCACAAACGCTCCGGTAATGTGGGTTAATGAGGATCTGAATGATTTAGTTTTCACGAAAGCTTACGATCCTTCCTAAAAGGGAGACTAGGGAGACTATAGTGTATCATCAAAATTCGGTGAAATTTCGCCACATGAAAATCAGCCTCATACACGAAAGGAGAATGGTCGATCATTAATACCTGTAGTAATTGATGAGAATAATATAAATTTTGTCTTTATTAAATTCAATTATTTATATAATCTTGAAACAAAATTTTTATTTATTTAATCTGTTGCCGATCCTGTCCCGGATGCTGCACCTGTCTGATCTCATTAAATCTCTGACGTTCAAAATTACGTCGAGTAAAAGCCTGCTTACTTTAACCTAAGCTCAGCGTATCATTATTAGCTACATGCATGGTACATTAGTATATTGAGTATCTTCCGCCCATCCAGCTTCCTACCCTATCGAGACGTCATCCCCTCTGTGCCAGCATTATCTCCCTCGGCACGCTAAATTTATTCTGTTGGGCGAATAAATTAAAATTTATTACGTCCTTCCAGAGTTTACAGGCTTTGCGCGAAAACGCAAGGAAACACTCGTTAAGACTTCAATGCGAGATTCTGCTTTTGCCACTTTTCCTCTTATTTTTTGTCTTCTTTATCTTCCCCCACTCACCCCTCTGTTTTTCGCAAGGAATTTCAAGCATGGTTTCAAAATCCGTATATTTTTCATCGGCTGTTTCTTAGAATCAAAATTTTTTCAACTAGTCCTATACTTTTTATCCTTGTGAAATTCTTATATAAACGTCACAGGGTAGATTTTTATACGTACACCCGTAACGAAAGCCACATCTACGGTTATCGATTCGCGAATAATCCTCCATACAAAAATACATCCCCGATATCCAAACGTATTATTGATACCCGCAATACAGATAAATTTCGCTTACCCTATTATTTCTGCAAAAGAAACTTTTTCTTTATTCCCTGTCATTTATTACGGGCCGAATGAAAAACTTGTCGAGGATAAGCCGTCACTCGAGAACGTTGACGCTGTCACTCGCACGTGGAATTATTGACAGGAGAATAAAATTATCAGTTTCCATATATACGATCACGGTCAATTCCCTCGTGTCATGTAGCACGGAAATAACAAATTTTTCTTTTTATTATCCTCGTGTTTTTCTCCTCGCCCGGAACTCGACTGTACGCGAACACCAGGTGCATTGAAAATTCCCATGACGAAAACGAGCCAGATATAATGCCGTTATAATTACGTTTGTATTCAACTTTTCTCCCGGGTATAAAAGCTCGCTCAGCGGGCCGCCGCTTAAATTTGAAGAATAAACAGTCCTTTTAACACAGAGAGAAATATGCTTTTAATTATATCTCTCGTAACTCCGTTTTTAACACGCTCACGAGTCCCCGCTCTAAATTTCTCGATACCAGGTAAAAACACAGTTACGAATTATTTCAGTCCCGACAACGACCACGTGGCGCCTGTATATCCATCGTAACCCCGAAACACGTGAAAAAACTGCATTGGCACAAAAAATACGTTCCTCTATCCTCGGAAAAATTTTTTTTTCATTTTTTTCTCCCTCTTCAAAAATCTGCTAAAAAAAATATTTCTCTCGTTATCGCGTGCTTATCCATCCGAAAGTTTTACACCCCGTCAGATCGATCCAGGGTTGGCCGAACGGATACACGGGTGCTACTACTTTACGACAGGGTCGTAATGCACCGTGTAAAGATCATGTTGCACTTTATCTCCCTTGCACAAGACAACGACGGAATAAAGTGCTACGTTATTATCTAGAGTAACTCTATAGGTCAGAGACTCAAAACGATCAGCGCCTCCACTATATCTATATACGACACAAGTATAGGAAGATACACGTGTTTCGTATATATTGACAAAAAATATATCTTCGTCGCTCGTTACTGTTTACAATAGACGAGTCAATTTCTTATTATTCTCAGGTCCAAAACCGCGTTGCTTTATTAAGTTTTCTTATGTACACGTTGCACAAAGGCGTTTCTCGGCGCTGCAACGAGATTAGACCTTATGAGATTCCAAGGCTCCTCCGTGCTCTTACCTTTGTAACATCACCTATAAGAGTGGCTCGTCACTTTGAAATACGTTAAAAGGCGGCTTTCCATGAGCCAATTTTAGCGATCGAGGGCGCGAGATACCCGAACGTGAATTAAATTGCATTCTGGGAAATTTCGTCAAAATTTCAAAGACGTATACTTATACTTCATATGCAGCCATATACACTCGCGTATATATATATATATATATATA